GGCCTGGAGTTTGTAAGGTTTAGGATATAGGGTTTAGGGCTGGATAATTCAGGCTTCAGAGATACCATTATCAACTGAGAACCCACTTCTGTACAGATACATGTTAGTGCTGAAGGTTCTGAGCCTATGCATCATGAGCTTCTACATCCTTCAAGAGCACTGTTGTAGAGCAGCCGTGTTTCTCACCGATGTTAAACCGATGTTTGTGGAGTCCCTTCCTCCTGACTACTTCAGGCCCGCGATATTCACATCTTCTCGCAGCGCCGCCTTCTTCAGCGGTAAAAATGGCGAATTCTGTGGTGGGTAGATGTTCTCCTAGTAACCCCTTTGGCAGCATTGGTTTAATTTGTAAATCTTGCTGAGGTAATTGTGAATTCACAGTTTTACTCTGTTCTGATGCCATGGCCTCAAATAATGAATATAAGGTCCAGAGGTTTTTCTGAAAAAAACACCTAAGCCATGAGGCGAAGCCCCCAAACTCCAATCTCCGTCTTGGGTGCAGGAAGTGCTTTACCGCTTCGAGCAGCACAACACCCGCCAGGACGGACAAAAATGTTTGGAAGGCTATTGAATTGGGGCCAGGGTGTGCCACTACAGGCACACTGGGCATTTCAAATCGTGGCCTCTGTTTGTGATTCTTTTCCGCTGTGTAAATCCCAATGACAGAATCCTTGCTGAAGTGTTAGCTTGGTTTCAAGGATGATGACCCCAGGGATAAGACTGCCGATTTCCGGACGCAGGGGAACCTCACTTTGTCTTGATGTTGCACGTGGCCAAGCATCCACACCTAGTGCCAGCTACAACCAGATGTTTGCCGCAAGCTGCATATGTGCCGAGCCAGCAGGCGCAATCGCCATGTATACGCGTCTCTGAGTCCCTAGGCCCCCCATTGATTAGAGCCGCCACGAAACTTGGGAATTCGGGTTTCGGGCATTTTTTACAAGATGCGGGCAGAACCCGGACCGACTGCCACGCTGGCGTCGCAAAGCTTCAGCGTCGCTTGGGCGCCCGGTGGATGAAGGGTTTAAGGTTTTAAGGTTCAAGGCTTAGGAGCTTCCGGGGTTCATGACATGATGGAGGTAACCATAGGGGCCTAAATAATTACCAGCACTATGGTTCTTTATTCCTTGTAGAATTATGGTATATGGTACATCAAATGGACCTCAAATTGATATTGGGGTCTTATTCAGGCCCCTGTAGTATAGGCACAGATGTTGTAGGATGAGGCAAAGGTGGTTGGATGTAGCTCTGTGCCAGTTGGGTGGCCTCTCTCAGGTTCTCAGTCACTTCCTGTCAAAAGTGTCATGCCCCGAAATGTGGTCAGTTGTCCTGGAACTCAGAAGACGCTAAACCCTAAACCTGATGATACCCTGAGTGCTGCTGAAGTGTTGATGCTGCGGCGACGGCGATGGCCGCAGCAGATGTTAGCCTGTCAGATGAGAACTTTCTATGGATTCTGGGTTCATCAGCGGGCACATGAAATGCATTGATGGGATAGAGCACATGATCCCAGCAATCACAATGCCATGGATGCAGGTCGTCGGCTTCATATGTGGATTGAGCTCGGTTGGTTTTAGGGGTCCCTACTGCAAGGTTTTCATTGTTTCGCTGTAGATACCAAGGGGGCCCCTATGTTGAGAAAATGCAAAGTTCCATGCAGCCTTCCTGTGAGACTTGAAATCAGCCCAAAACCGCAAGCCCCAAAGTTTGATTATCATGTATGGTATCTTGCATCTTCTTTTCCTCAGATCGCCAGGCAGGCTGTTGCAGAAGTCCATAGCCTTGAACAGCTTGCAACACTTGGATGGTACCCCAAGGACAGAGTTACCCCTAAGGGAACATGTAGAGATTGTGTCGAGACTGTCCCGCTTCTCTGCAGCAGAGTTGCTCAAAAGTTCTAGCTTTCCACGATTCTACAGCCACTATCAAGTTTACCTCCACATTCGACCTAGCTGATGCTAGCCGTGCACTCTTGTAAAGGGATTCTCCCGTAAGGCTGCAGAAGCAGAAGCCAACAGCAGCCCAGCCTTGTAAAGCCATGGCTTTGTCGGGATACGCCCCAACTGTGGGTTTGGCAGCAAGGGAGGCAAGCTAGTCGGAAGCTTTTCTGGGTTGCTGTTAAGG